GCTGACATCACTGGAAACCAATATGTAATTTGGGATCAACAGGAAAACAGAACCAACCAATCTGTGACAATTTTGCCCCATTCCTTACACAATGAAGGGGCTTTGGCTCTGAGACTATTAAGGCACCAAATGCTGTTTTTGTCAATGGCCTGCACCTCTGATTTGGATTTGTAAGATATTATAACATTGAAGCAAAAATAAAAAACCACTTTTTTAGAGCTTGAAATCACTGGATGAGGTGGGGGGTAGTGTCCAAATACACTGCCATCTTGCATGTGTACATTTTTTTGCTAGAGTTTGTAAAAAAAGTATAGTGTAGCTTGTACAGTGCAAAAACTACGGGAAAATGCCTCTGGAACGTGATGACTTGACACTTGGGTGGAATCACAGTGCAGTCTCAAAGATCGTTAAGACGGGGGGCTGTCCATTGGAAGTGTTCATAACCACAGAGCCAGTGTGAGCAATCTCTGGGTAATTCCTTTTGAAGTAAACCTGTTTAAAAGAGAAAAAAGGGATAAAAGAAACATATTCACCAGTTTTCAAGTCCTCCTCTCTAAAGCAATGTGTTCTCATGTCTACCTCTACGTGAAGCCAATCTTGGCATTCACTAATGCACAATTAAAGAACAAGCGTGCATATACTCTACAGAAAATTAGGCCACTAAAGCTCTCAGCTGGGCCAGGCTGAAGGCCAAACCACCTGTAGATCCACTTTAGTTCTGATCATTCTGATTCACAGATACATTTTATAGCTCCATTAAATTGATAAGCAAAATCATTTCACTGACTCAAAACCTGAAGATAAATTAAAAACGGGGTGACAAAGAGGCTGGGAAATCTAATGTCTGCACAAGGGTTTCTCATTTTCGCAGAGAAAATGAGCACAATAGATTTGGATGCTAATATCAGGTTGTAATCCCTATACTTTATAAACTCTGATTGACAAGCATTGAGACGCGAGCGCCTAGGTATGAACTATTCCAGCATTTAATTTATGTGGCAAAGCGGTCACAGGACCCATAGAAATGTGATCTGTGGATAGTGGGCCACAAAAATGGAACGAGAAGCAAAAAGCTTGAACAATGACCCAACCGAGCAACTTCTCTAAAATGTAACATGATACCAAATAATAGGACAGTCCTTTGAGCTGCTGAATTCTACCAATTTCTAGTTGAACTAGAAGAGATACAGGTTTTCTGATAAATGCGTAATCAGAACATAAAGGAAATGAAATGCTGTCAGGCTTCTCTGTTCCACAATCATCCGTTTTTGGGAGCTGTATCATATCTTAGTTCCTTGACAGATGTGCAGAACAAAATGAAATAATGTCAAGACTTGTGAGCTCTTATCTCCAAATGTGTTCGGGTGAAAAAGACTTCAAATATATTTTTTTTCCCCCCAGAGAAGAATATAAAAAGTTTTGTGTGAGTCTTTAAAACTTAAAAATGTGCCATCCATCTAAGGCTGACATGTGTCATGAGTCACCGATTCTGCATACACTTTATAAAATCTGACTCCAAATGTATTTGTGGGTGCTGTCAACAAAGTTATCAGTGCAGATAAGGGACTTCACATACAAAACGGAAGCGTGCTGAGACACACACCTACTTATTAAATGCGTGTTTGCTTTTGTAGCTTGAATACTTGCGCCTGGAAAAAGTGTTACTACACTTAAAATTCAATATGTTAAACTGTCACTTAAGAAAAGAAAGAAATTTTCTGATAATCCCTGGGCCCCATTGGATGAAAAGTGAGACCATTTCTATTACAAAGCAAGTTTTTAAAAATAAAGACACTTGGGAAGGAGGGGTATGAAAAATTTCATGTCAACTTTCCCTGCCTTCTTTTTAACAGGTCGCTGCATTTGGCTGCATTTTGTGTGGTTATCTATTTATATATTCCAGAAGGGGTATTTCTTCTTGAAAGTAAAAGCAGCCAAAAGAACAAATGGAAATTCAATCCACTTTCTACTACTTGGAAGTCACCCCCCAATAAGCCTGTTTCTTCTCTAACACCCTCCAACTGGCAAATCATTACGAGTCTAATCTAGTAGTGAGACCCTGAACACCCTGTAGACCCTTCCCTAAAATACAAAAAGAAAAAAAAGAAAAAAAATTCTTAACTACAGTGGTCACAGCTTCCTGGTCTGAAATGTTCTTTTGATAAACACTTCACTCTTCCTTTTGCCCATCCGTTGCCATGTTTTCTAGCACAGCCTGGACTGTGGCACAGGTGAGACGCAGCGTCCCTGTTTACTGTGCAGGTGAGGAAGGGAGCCAGGATGCTGACATTCTTCAGCAAGAGACCTGGCCCACAGGCTCAGCCTGGGATGGAGGCCCCGGCTCAGGGCTCCTTCCCGGGACGTACTGCTGACCCTGGAAAACTCTCTTAACCTCTCTACACACTGCCTGCCTCATCTGCAAATGAGATAGCAATGACTTACCTCATAGGAACTAATTAATGGCTGCAAACTGCTAGTGGAAAACATTCCGAGTTAAGTGTTGGGTGTGTTTATGAATGCTGCTCACAGAACTGCCCCTCCGTTCATGGAAGCTAGCGGCATTACCCAGCCTAGAAGATGACAACTCCCGGGAGTGCCCTTGGTGGACCTTCTCATTTCATCTTTATGGAACCAGGAGTCCAGACACTGCTAACAGAATGAGTACACTAACCTAGGGGACAGAGGGGCGCCTGGGAGAGGCAGCCCAAGCCAGAGCCTCCTCGCCCCTGTGGTGATCCTGACAGTGCTAAGGCTCTTCTACTCTGTGAAGACAGAAGGAGATAAAGCAGGAAGTTCAAGCCCACAGCAGGCAGAACGGAAGTCCAGTGAAAGCTGGATGTCTTACGACTGTTCTTCCTCACCTCACTGGTTTGGTTAACAGTTCCTCTAAAACAGGCTTAAACTAAATTTAGTAAACACTCGCTCATCCATAAAACCAATATTAGCACTTCTGAAAAGCAACAGAGCAACAGAAGGTCCCTGTGTAGACATTTCAAGAAATAGTGGGACTATATTTACGCCGCCAGTGTAAGACAGCATCCTACGTGTGGAATTCTGGCTACCGACTGCCAGCCTCTTCTCACCGAGCTGGGTCCCCCCCAGTAACTCCCAGGCCCTATGTCCCCATCCACACAGCAGCTCGAATTCTAGTGCTAAGTGCTGGCGTCATCAGAATGTACGGTCAATGCTTACATTTTGAAAGATTACAGTAAAAGACATAGCCAGTCCTCCTCAAAATACCTAGCCTTACCTTGAACACGTCCCCCATCGTTCTTGTCAATTTGTGAAGCAGTTCTAGAAGTCTTTTGTCAGTATCCTTATGAGGTGTGATAAAAAATATGGTGAATGCTGCTACCAAATGCCACCCTGCTGAAAGGCAGACTCATGGAAACAGCACAGTGTGTCCTTGTCCACCTTATTCCCTGGATCAGGCATTATACAACTACTTCATCTTTCCTCAAATCAGAAAGACCATGAAAGATAGTTGTTGTTAATTAATTTAGGACAGTCACACTAACACAATTCTAGTCCCTCATGCATACAGACCTCAGAACTGTCCCAGAACGTAGCAAACATGATGGGGTGTGTTTGAAATGAGGGGGAGTATTGCGATGGTGATTGATGGCAATGTGTCTTTTGCTACAATAAATGGAAAAAAACATTCACCATAGTTTTCAATCATACTTTGTGTATTATCATCAAAGTTGAAGAGTATTAGAGTTTGAACTTCTCTTAAGATAATGAAATGTTTCTTACTCTTTAAAAAAAAAAATCACCTTAAAATTGAGGACTCTGAAAAATAAAAGAAACATCATTATCCAGGCTCTGATGAACTGGATAATTATCCAGTGATGATGAAGTTTCTGGGGGGGCTGCCACGTGCCATGGATTCAGGGAGACTGTGTCCAGAGCCAGAGTCCACGGATAGTGGGCACGTGTGGGAGCGGACCTCCACAGCTGCAGAGCAGCGCCCTTCTGCAGTTACAGGAGCACTTGGGAATACTACAGAATTTCACGATTCTGCTGAAACACACACATGGGCACCCCGGGGAGACGAGAGGCTCCCAACACAAGCAGCGGTAAGGCCTGTTACCTCTGTTCATTCCCCTCCTGCTCGCCTATAGGTTAATTTAAGCTGGGAGAATTTGTCTTAGCCCAAAACCACGTCCTAACCACAGCTACCCTGCAGCGAGACAAATCCCCTTTCATTCAAAGATGAGAAGTAGGAATAGTGCTAAAAAAAAGGAGTAATTTGGGATATGCAAAAGCACAAACAAAAAGTGAGGCAAAACACAAGACAAGCGCATTACAAATGAAGAATACGTAAGTACTGAGCTGAAGGAAATTATTAAAAAGTGGCATGAAATACATTCAAAGAAAATATAGCAAAACAAACAATGTAACCCTAACAGAGAAATTCAAACTAAGTTGCCAGAGCCCAAAAGGTGAGATGAAAGAGAGAAATGAAAATTTCAAAGACGAGACGTCTATTGATGCAGCCCTCCTGGAAACACCTGTGGGAGACATGGCAACAGGGCTGACGGAGCAAACAAAATAACTTGCAATTTTTAAAAAATCCAAGAGAAGAGAGAAAAGGGACCTGTAATGGATGATATGTAATCATAAAGAGAACAAGGGTTACCAAATTTTAAAAATTCAGAGATATAACTTAAGACATAAATTTCTAGAAACAACAAAAAGGTTTTAATCTAAGGTTCAAAGGGAACAGAGTAATATCCCGAGGAAAGCCGCTGAGCTTCAAAATGAAGAAGCTGTTAGGCATCCGAAAAGGCCAAGCGCTAGCTTGTGCGGCTGTTCCTCCCTATGAGGAGACAAGGCTGAGACCTCAGAGCAGAGGCTGCCATGCAGCAAGCAAAAGAAAAGGGTGACCCATGAGTCTTATAAGTAGGACATTTAGAGTCATATTTCAGATACGGAGTAAGTCAAGGCGAAAAGCATTAAATGAGTCCCAGAAAGGGCCTTTACAGTGGTAGAAAATGTATTTCATAGCGAAAAATCCAAGTCATGTGTTTTGTTGACTGAAGTGTCAATGTTTTCAAAGCAAAATGACAGAAGGTACAAGGAGAGATATACAGTATGAGATGGATTCGCCGTTCCAGATACAAGGCACAGCAAAGGAACTAATGCATAAGGACAATGGAGACCTCTATCTTGTAATTAATAAGGTATGCAAATGGAAAATCATTAAGCTATATACTTTAAACAGAAAACGTTCCATCTTTTCAATGCACAGAGAAAATTCACAAGCATTTTTGTATACTAAGGCACAAAGAAGTATGAGTAATACGTAGAAATGGTACAGAAAAGATTGTAAGACAGTAAAACTGTCATAAAACATAAAATAAACTCCTGTAACTAGGAAGTTTTTAAACTTCCATCTTAACTAATTTCCAGGCCAAAGAGGAAATCAAAACCAGAACTACAAAAAGTACATGAAAAAATGAGCTTTGATGAAAGCATTACATAAATCT